CCATATATACTTTTGTCTTCAGTATTCACCGGTGAATTTATGGATTTTGGTGCGGTTGCTGGTGTTTTCCGGCAAGTGAGACTAATAGATTAGACTTGGTTTAGCGGATATGATACGGTAGCCGCAGGTTTGAAGCCGACAAAGGAAGCGTTCCAAGATGCATGATTTGAGTTGCGATAGGCCGTGTCGCCAAGAAAGCGTCTCCAAGGTGTATAATTTAAGTTGCTAGTCCCACGCAAAAATGTGCCTATGTATCTGGTATATGTAATGTCACATGCGTGCATCCTCGGACGCCACCTCAATTCTAATTATTATCTTTCCTTCTGAAAAGAGTCTTAATTTCTCCGCCACATCAATCAAAGGAACTAGAGTGTGACGCACACATTGCCATGTTGTTTTTTGTTCGTGAGCTAAGTATTTCTACTTTTTTACACGGCCTGTTATGGTCGGATGGCTCGCTATGCACAATTGTCAGCTAATTATATTACATAGCATTGCGGACCATGTTACAACATGTCCACTAGAATATATGCAGAGGAAAATCCCTAAAGAATTGTTGAATGTAAGCTACATCTCATTACAATTGAATGTAAGCTCCATCTTAATACAATTAAACCAACCTTTTGCCCATTGCTTATTGGATGAGAAACTGAAAATGGAAACATGAATAGTAAATTCATAGTTGTAGTTTCGGTGTCAGTGGAGTAACACCAGGATAAATTGTTAGATCTATGCCGAAAGTTCCCTTCTACACCTAGGCTCAAACACTAGTAGAAAAAGGGCCCAATGTTTAGCCCTTTAGTCCCGGTTTGTAAATTAACCGGCAGTAATGTGACCATTAGTGCCGGTTCAGACGGCTATGCATTAGTCCCGGTTCGTGTTGAACCTTTAGTACCGGTTTGTGGCATGAACCGGTACTGATCGGTACTAAAGGGGTCATGGCAAAAAATCTTTAGTACCGTTTGGTGTTACATACAAACCGGTACTAAAGGTCCCCCAGACCACCGTGCGGGCTCGTGCCACGTGGTGGGCCTTTGGCCCCGGTTCATGTTGAACCGGGACTAAAGGGGGGGGGGGTACCTTTAGTCCCCACCCATTAGTGCCGGTTACAGAACCGGGACTAAAGGTCCTTTCAAACCGGTACAATAAGTCATTTTTCTACTAGTGAAATGAGCTTGGGATGAATAGTAACTCTAAAAGCATTTAAGAAATATTCAAAAATCTGATTTTTTTATGGTAAACTTTGACAAATGTTCAAAGAGGTTGCAAAATTTCATCACGAAATCACATTTGTGGAAGTCGTGGCAAAATAGCAAAATCAGTGCTCCAATATGCTTTCTAAAGTAGCATTTCAAGAGTACTAATTTTGTTTTTTTGCCACGACTTCCACAAATATGATTTTGTGATGGAATTTTGCAAGCTCTTAGAACATTTGTCGAAGTTTGCGATAAAAAAAATTCAGATTTTTTGAACATTTTTTAGATGTTTTTCGAGTGTACTGTTCATCCAAGCTCAAATGCGCTCGGGTGCAAAAACTGTACATGTTATTGCAGAATGCAATGCGTCGATGTATCAACAGGATAAGCCCACTGGCATCTGGATCTTGCATGCAATGCAGAAGCTGGAGCCTTAATTTTCAAACGATTGACAATATATGCGATGAATTTGACAAAATTCTTCTATAAAAGCTCCAAACCTGAACATGAAATTGAACATTCAAGTCAACGTAACTAGGAACTGATTGCCTGTATGGAATCACCACATCGATGTGCATCTTCTTCTTGTAGAGCTTATCTCAAATGGAAGCTCTATAGTGTAGTGTAGATAGAAGTGACTAGGTGGAAGAGATTAAGGGAGGTGAGTGGAAAAGAAGACGCGCAAACCCACCTACAGGCCTCCAGTAGATCACACCGCCAGATTCACCCACATGCACCTGCTCACTTGCATCGCTCGGGCCTGATTGAGTGGAAATGGTATTTTCACTCACGAGGATGGGGCGTCAACTCGTTGGTTGGGCAGCTGAGGTTGCTGCCAGCCCACCCGAGTTCGAGTCCCGACTCGGACGCGCGGTGCTCGCGGAGTTTTCTTCTATAAAAAAAGCCAACGAGAGTTAGCCCTTAGGTTGGTCTCATATTTATTTGAATATTTCCACTCACCCAGGCTCAGTAGTGCTTTAAATTACATACCCGGCAAACATTTGGTGTGGGCCATGCATCCAAAAGGACCAAATATCACTCCTTGTGGATGAGGGTAATGCAGCCTACCAACACATGGCCCAACTTCTCTTGCATCTCTTGCTCCAAATGATACATGCAAAATGTTTCAGAGCATAGTCACAAATAGAAAGTTATTCCAGTTTAAATTATAACATGGGCGTGGTCCCGTAATACATGTGCTACCCAGATGTGGCCGGCCCAACATTTCCAGCTAAACACACCGTATTATATGGAACATGCATTTGTGCAAGAAACTTTTGGAAATCTCCTATTCACCCTTCTCTCTTCTTGCTTTTTGATACTTTAGATGTCCATATATCACAGTAATGTTGTTTATAGGGCAAAAATAACAGTCAAAAGACCGATGTCATGCAATTGTACAAGAACGAAATTATGATGGATAACAACACATCAAGCAACAATAGCCCATGGATTCCCAAAGAAAAGAAAATCTGTAGCCAATGTACTAGTGGCAATTGATATGAACTAAGTAAACCAACCAAGCAAGAACAACACAGAAGCTTATTATTGATGCATCCAGCTTGCAGATAATTATTAAGAGCATGGAGCTTATTCGTGGACCACGAGCATTCGTCCAATGAATGGCCGCAAGCTTAGCTGATGTAGTACAGGGGGTCGGGCAGCTTGAAAGTACGAGCTCCCTCGGGCGCGCCGAGGAGATCGCTCCACTGGTCGCCTATGTTGCCGACGATGACGTACCCGGCGTCCTGCAGCTTCTTCCTCTCGGCGGACTTGTAGGATATCGCGGAGCCATGGAACCCGGGCTGCTTGAGCGTCAGGTTCATCCACCCGGAGATGCCCTGGCTGCGGAGGTTTCCGACGGTGATGGCCCTCTTGTCTTCCGTCCGGCCTGTGATGAACACCGGCTTGATGCCCACCTTGAGTAGCTTGTAGTAGAGCCGCTTCGTCTCCGGCAGCACCGGCGCGGTTCCCTCAAGAACGTACGCGTCGAAGCTCGTCGCGTTGTATGGCCTAGCCCTGCGCGCGTGTATGCATGCCGATGTCAGCTAGTATGTAATTTTGCATATATGGAAAAGAAACAAACATAAAATTAACCATGAACATGATGTTCTGACTTCTAACATCTGTCCATAAGGACGGTTATTAAAACCAAGGGATGTACCGAAGCGCATGTACGCTGCCTAAATTTGTTGATAGAAATATGTAGATAATAAAGTAGATAAGGTCCTGCTTGCTCCGGCCATCACATGCACATCACATGATTTCACATCACTATCCCTAATTAGCACAGCATAGCATCTTTTGCTCATGAATCGTGATATGGTCCTGCTTGCTCTATGATTGGACTGGGGATGACAACCAATGATGTCCAACCCCAACATGTCCAACACATATATGCCTCTCTATTTCCACTTATAGTTTCATCTGTGTTTTTTTCTTTTCATTTATTATTAGAGAACTTATGGTGCCATCGAGAAATAATTTTCTACTCCCCCCTAAACAAAATGTAAGACGTTCTCTCAGAAAACATCTCAAATTTTGTTATGGAGGGAGTACCATCTACGTTATATAGTTATATACTGCGGTGCATATATCCACCGTCCATCTTTGCTCGGATATTCGTGCAATGTTTTCTATTTTTCGCTATGTTAGTCTTCTTTCAAAGTATATCATCGTCTTTTGTCGGATTTTTTTTCTTGTTTCAATGTGTATTATAATGTCTCACTATATGTCAACGAAATATTTACCCGTCTTCAATACATTTAGTGGTGGATAAAAAAAAATGCATGGTTATATAGCATGCATGCATGGTAGAAAAATCCACTCACATGATGCCATGGTGTCACTGTTGTTTTCTAGTGGATTAATTTTAACATGGAACTGTTAGATATATTTTTTACGGTTTAGCAAAACGGACAGACCAATCCAAATCTCAGCTCAAATATAACGAACGTGCAGCAAATAGTAAGTATAATGTGCACGTACGTGCATACTCAACGATGTGAATAATGTGTGTAAATACGCACCCAAAGCCGTGCGTGGCGTAGTAAGGGAGGTTGGAGAGCGTGGTCTCGTCAATGTCGAAGACCCACACCTCCTTGCCGTTGCCGGCGAGCTTGAGGCTGTCGACGTAGGCGATGGCCTGGTCGATGACGACCTTGGAGTCGCGCCGGAAATGGCTGCCCAGCATGTAGTGGCCCACGTAGCCCTCGCAGTTGGCGGGGACAGTCTTCCAGTCACGCACGTTGTACGCCTCCACGCCCAGCCTCCAGCTGTCGCACGGCACGCCGCCGCGGCTGCCGAGCTCTCCGCTGGAGCCCAGCAGCGGACGCAGTGCGTGGATGAGCGGCGCCACGGCGTCGTCGACGGCAGCGGCCGCAGCCTCCGCCGTCGGCATACGGATGGTGGGCTCCCATGCGCTGCAGGATGCCGCCGCGGCCACGAGAGCCACCGCGATGAGGATGGGCACCCTTGCCATCGCCATTGTTACTGCTAGCTGCCTGTGGTGCTCTGCTTCTTGAGGTGCACTGCCAAGTGTGTGTGGTGGGCGGCTTCTTATATAGAACTCCCTCCCTGTGGTGGCAAGATTTACTGCCCAATTAGTGTTAGACTATGTATAGCTTCTGTATCTATGTACGTATATGGTACATATTGTAACATAACCATTATATATAATGAGATAAGCCACCCCTAGAGGGTTGTGCTGGTTCCCCAAAACTTATTGTCTTACATGGTATCACGCTAGGTTACGATCGCTTCCGCTTCTAAACCCTAATACCCGCACCACCGCCGCAGCCGCCGCCGCCTTCACCGCCGCCGCCGCGCCACCGATCGCGCCGCCGCCATGTCGAGCGCCGCCACCACCGGTTCCACTGCTGCGGGCTTCCTCCCGGCCTCTCTTGCGGCTCTGCTCAACCTCCCGCTCGATGCCGTCTCTGTTCCGGCTCCGATCGGGACAAGGAGCATCGGCTCCGTCTTCTCCACGCCGCCGGCGCCCTCGCTTGGGCGTGACCTCGTGGTCCACACCGCGGCGCCGCCGTCCGCTGCGGACTCCGCAAGCGTCGTCCCGCCGCTCCTGCCGCAAGCGGATCACACTGCCCCGCTGGCGGGGTTGGTGGCGTCCGCCCCGGCCGCGGGCCTTGCGGCGTCCGCACCGGCCGCGAGCTTTGCGGCGCCCGCCCTGGCTGCGGTCCCTCCTCCTCCCGCATCGGCTTCGGTGCCTCCGGCTGCCTCCATGGTGTTTGCACCCCAGGCAGCCTCCTCGATGGGATTGTCTTCGCCGCCGCCGTTTCACTTCGGTCATCTCATCACCATCAAGCTCTCCGCCGACAACTACATCTTCTGGCGTGCGCAGGTTCTCCCGCTCTTGGGGAGTCACTACCTGCTAGGCTACGTCGACGGATCGCTTCCCTGCCCACCCGCGCTGGTAGACAGCGTGCACGGTCCGGTCTACAATCCGGCCCATCGCGTCTGGACGGGGCAGGACCAGGCGAACCTCTCCTCCATCCAGGGGTCGCTCTCGCCGGCAGTTGCCGGCCTTGTTGTCTTCGCGAAGACGTCTCATGAGGCCTGGACCATCCTTGAGCGCACCTTTGCAGCGCAGTCCCAGGCTCGTGTCTCTGCACTCCGTCGTCAGCTTGGAGAGTGTCAGAAGCTTGACTCCACTGCCACTGAGTTCTACAACAAGGTCAAGGGCCTCGCCGACACATTGGCCTCCATGGGACAGCCCCTCACCGACTCCGAGTTCAACTCGTTTATTGTCAATGATCTTGATGAGGAGTATGATGCCTTAGTCGAGATCATCAACGAGCGGGGCAACTCGACACCCATGCTGGCACACGAGGTTTTCTCTCGGCTCCTTCTCACTGAGCAACGGGTCGAGACTCGCCGCACCAGGGGCACTGGCTCCCTCTCGGCCAACGCCGCCACCAAGGGTGGCCGCTCTTCTTCATCACCCCGGTCTCCCTTGGGGCTGCCACCGTCGCCCGCCTCGGCCCCCCCACCTACTGCGACCTTACCGGGGGCTGGCGGTCCACGTGTGTGTCAGCTTTGTGGCCGCGATGGGCACTGGGCCTCCAAGTGTCATAAGCGCTTCCAGCGAAGCTTCCTTGGTCTTGGCAATGACGGCAAAGATACACGCAACAATGCCCGTCAGGTCGCCATGGCTGATCGTCCCGCGCCGCAGAAGCAACAGGGACACACTCAGTCCTACTCCATCGATCCACACTGGTACATGGACTCTGGGGCGACAGAGCATCTAACCAGCGAGATGGGGAAGCTTCACACTCGTGAACCCTATCATGGCTCCGACAAGATCCACACCGCCAATGGAGCAGGTATGCACATCTCTCATATTGGTCAAGCATCTCTTCTCACTAGACATGCCAATAGGAGTCTTCAGTTTCGCAATGTTCTTCGAGTTCCATCTGTGACCCGTAATCTTCTTTCAGTTCCTAAACTCACACGTGATAATAATGTGCTTTGTGAATTTCACCCTTTTGATCTTTTTATTAAGGATCGGGGCACGAGGGACATTCTTCTTAGTGGGCGGTTGTGCCAGGGCCTCTACCGTCTGGAGCATCCTGGTGTCGCTCGTGTTTTCAGTGGAGTTCGGGTCTCTCCGTCACAGTGGCATGCTCGTCTTGGTCACCCGGCCACACCTATTGTCCGTCATATTTTGCGTCGTCATGAGCTTTCTAGTTTGTCTAGTCATAAAGATGTAGCAGTGTGTGATGCTTGTCAGCAGGGGAAGAGTCATCAACTTCCTTTTTCGGAGTCCAGTTGTGAGGTGAAACATCCTTTAGAACTTGTGTTTTCAGATGTATGGGGTCCTGCTCAGACTTCTGTCAGTGGTCATAGTTACTATATCAGTTTCGTTGATGCTTATAGTCGCTTTATCTGGCTTTACCTTATTAAACGCAAATCTGATGTGTTTGATATTTTTGTCCAGTTTCAAAAACATGTTGAACGTCTTCTCAAGCACAAAATTGTTCATGTCCAGTCAGACTGGGGGGGGGGGGGCGAGTATCGCAACCTCAACTCTTTCTTTCAGTCGCTTGGGATAGCTCATCGTTTAGCATGTCCACATACACATCAGCAGAATGGTTCAGTCGAACGTAAGCATCGTCATATTGTTGAAGCTGGTCTTACTCTTTTGGCCCATGCATCTGTTCCGTTTCGGTTTTGGAGTGATGCTTTCACCACTGCATGCTTTCTCATCAACCGTACTCCTACTCGTGTTTTAAACATGAAGACTCCCATTGAGGTTCTCCTTAATGAACAACCTGATTATACCTTTCTCAAGGTATTTGGCTGTGCTTGCTGGCCGCATCTTCGTCCATATAACAAGCGCAAGCTTGAGTTTCGTTCTAAGAAGTGTGTTTTTCTTGGCTATAGCTCTCTTCATAAAGGTTACAAATGTCTTCATGTTCCCACTAATCGTGTCTATATATCTCGGGACGTCGTGTTTGATGAGCATGTTTTTCCCTTTGCCAACCTTCCTGTGTCCACTGTCGAACCACCATCCCTGCATTCATCCTCTGTTGCTTCTGACCAATTTGATGATGTTGCATACTCTCCTTTGCTGTTACCTAACCATGGTGCAGGAACCGGACGTGGAGCTCGTTTGGAGCTGTTGGAGGATTCACCATCATCATCGTCGTCTTCTGGTGGGCACGTCGATCGCCCTATGTTGCATGGCATCGATTCGCGTGCCCATGCATGGTCACCCGACGAGCCCGTCGCGCCGAGCATCTCCACTGCTCGGTCCGTTTCGCCAGCGGCCGCCGAGTCGCCCGCGGCTCGGCCCGTCACGCCGTCTTCGCCTGCGGCTCGGCCCGTCACGCCGTCTTCGCCCGCGGCTCGGGTCCTCACGTCGCCTTCATCAGCGGATCGGCCCGCGACACCGGCCGCGCCACGGCCCACTATGCCGAGCTCGCCATCGGCCCGGTCTGTGATGCCGGAGTCGCCAGCTGCTTCGTCTGCTCTGCCGGTTTCGCCGGTGGGTCGGCCTTCTTCGCCAACCGAGTGCGAGGCTACCGTGACTGGCTCCTCGTCACCGGCTGACTTGTCAACGTCGCCGTCCTCCAGCCCATTGCAGGCTGCTCCGTCGACCTCGGTTGTTCCTGTGTCCCGACCACATACACGTAGTCGCAGTGGCATTTTCAAACCTAAGGAACGGAAGGATGGTACGGTTGCTTGGTTGGCTGCTTGTTTGGCTGCTGTTGTTGCGGATCCATCTTCTGAGCCTCGCTCATATCAGGCTGCCCTGCGCATTCCACATTGGCGAGAGGCTATGGAGCAGGAGTTTCATGCTCTTCTTCGTAACAAGACATGGACTCTCGTTCCTCCACCACCACGGGTAAATGTTATTGACTCAAAATGGGTATTCAAAGTGAAGAAGCATTCGGATGGATCTATTGAGCGTTACAAAGCGCGACTTGTTGCTCGCGGTTTTCGGCAGCGTCATGGTCTTGACTATGAGGACACCTTCAGTCCTGTCGTCAAGCCTACCACTATTCGGCTTCTTCTCTCCATTGCTGTTTCTCGTGGTTGGTCACTTCGTCAACTTGATATGCAGAATGCTTTTCTACATGGATTTTTGGAGGAAGAGGTTTATATGAAACAGCCGCCTGGTTTCTCTGATCCTGATCGTCCTGACTATATCTGTCGTCTTTCCAAAGCACTATATGGTTTGAAGCAAGCTCCTCGTGCCTGGCATGCCCGCCTTGCCTCTGCCCTTCGTGCTCATGGGTTTGTGCCGTCTACTGCTGACACTTCGTTATTTCTTCTACAGAAGCCAGAAGTCACTATGTATCTTTTGGTATATGTCGATGATATTATCCTTGTCAGCTCTTCTCAGTATGCTGCTGATGCTCTTGTCTGCTCTCTTGGTGCTGATTTTGCGGTCAAAGATCTTGGGAAGCTTCACTACTTTCTTGGAGTTGAGGTCACTTCTCGTGCTACTGGTCTTGTCCTTACGCAGAAGAAGTACTCCTTGGAGTTGTTACAGAGAGCTGGCATGCTGAAGTGCAAACCGACCACCACACCCATGTCGTCTACCGACAAGATAACAGCTGTTGATGGTGAGCTTTTGTCTCCTGCGGATGCCACAGAGTACAGGAGCATTGTTGGTGGACTTCAGTACTTGACGATCACGAGACCAGATATCTCTTATGCTGTTAACAGGGTTTTTCAGTATCTTCAAGCTCCCAGAGATACTCATTGGGCTGCTGTTAAACGCATTCTTCGTTATGTTCAGTTCACCCTGACATTTGGTATGCATATTCGGTCGACTTCCTCTCGGCTCCTTTCGGCCTTCTCTGATGCAGATTGGGCTGGTAGCCCAGATGACAGGCGATCCACGGGGGGTTATGCAGTATTCTTTGGCTCTAATTTGATCGCCTGGAGTGCTCGGAAACAGGCTACTGTGTCACGTAGCAGTACTGAAGCTGAGTACAAGGCTGTGGCTAATGCTACTGCAGAGATTATTTGGGTGCAGTCTTTGCTTCAGGAGTTGGGTTTGTCTCAACCACAGCCTCCTATTCTTTGGTGTGATAACATCGGTGCTACATACCTTTCTGCAAATCCAGTATTTCATGCCCGAATGAAACACATTGAAGTTGACTATCACTTTGTACGGGAACGTGTATCACAGAAGCAACTCCAGATCAAGTTTATCTCATCTAAGGATCAACTTGCAGACATCTTCACTAAGCCTTTACCGCTGCCACAGTTTGAGGCTTGTAGGCGCAATCTTACCCTTCTCATTTCTTTAGAAAGTGGCTAAGATTGAGGGAGGGTGTTAGACTATGTATAGCTTCTGTACCTATGTACGTATATGGTACATATTGTAACATAACCATTATATATAATGAGATAAGCCACCCCTAGAGGGTTGTGCTGGTTCCCCAAAACTTATTGTCTTACAATTAGCAACATATATTGACAGAAATTCCATTAGAAAAATAGCTTGTTAAAGACAGTAGGAAAGCTACGTCCTACGTGGTGTGTGAGCTTGAGAGAAATTAACTGACGCAGGACAGCAGGGGTGTGGTCTCATTCATAGGGTGTGGAACACGCTGGGCGCGATATTTTGTTGGGGACGATGTGATGCATTATTTTCCTGGTTTACCATTCATAATGTCATATTTTGCACCCAACAGTCAGGGGTTAATCTGTGAATGCTCTCTTTTCTAGCCCATCCATGTTAAGTGTTTTATTGGGGACCGTCTATTCATCAAGCACCTAACTTTGTTTTTGTAAGTCAAATTTTGGGGCCGTCAGATGTCCATCCAACTGCCAGGATTGCGCCATTGTTCATCTTCTTCCTCCTTTTCTTCTTCATCCATGTGTCAACCCTCGACCCAGCCTCAATCGCCGATCTCCACCGCCCGCGGCTGGCATGCACTACCGCGGGCCGCCCCGCCCTACCAGCAACCACCCCTCCCCATCCAATCCGCACTACCAACCTGGTTCGTTGCCTTCGCCTGGGATGCCACAACTCACCGCGGCTCACAACATCGTCCCATCTCCGGCGAGGTACTAGCTCGGCCTCACCGTGGTCGTCGTTCGCCGCTATCACTCTTCACGTTGTCCCCGCCTTCGGCTTTGCGCGAAGTGGAAAAAGTGACAGACGCACAATTTGTTTCCAGGTACATGATGTTTAGCAAACCTGATTTTATTTTCTTTTTTATATATGGTAGAATGCAGATTGCACATGCACAGCAGAACAAAACACACATTCCCATTCACATGATGAGGGCGAGCATCCTGGCCATGAGCATTTTAGTGTGTGTGTGTCTGCGCGTGCGCTAGCTTCCCCTGTTGCTTCTTGAGGTGCAATGCAAATTTGCAAAGTGTTGGTGGCTAGTTTGTTGCAGGGAAGCTATACCCTACATGGTGTGCTAGCTTGAGAGAAATCCTTACTCTTATAAAGGTTCCTGTTGGTAGCAATCCTTTATCGCTCAGAAATTATCTCATAAGTTGTGAAAATAATAATTATCATATGTAATTATCGTACATTTTACTTCCTCCGTCCTATAATATAAGAGCGTTTTTTACACTACACTCGGAGTATGTAATAGACAGGCTTACCAGTATCTTGTGGTGACATGAATCGTCTTATGTATGTTTTGTGATATACTTTTTTATCTATAATACTTAAATAGTTGATCCCCACTACTCTAATTCTCTCAACATGCAAGCCATCCACCTCATCAAGTGTGCCATGTCAGCATCCACTAACAATATTTTTCAGCCATGCAAACCTTATTCCATTATCACTAATCCCCTCAACATGCAAGCATTCCACCTCACAATACACTACAAGTTTTTTCAGCCCGTGCAAACCATACCAATATGTTTATTTTTATCACTGGACATATGTAGTAGAATAGGCAATTATTTAATTTATTTACTTCCTAAGGATTGTGAAATGCCCTGATTTACACAAAATGCAAGTACCGAATATTTATATATTATAAAATTAGTAGCTTTTGATTTAGATATTTTTCTTCATATATAAGTCATCTGTAATTAATCTTTATATTCCTGCAGCAACGCACGGGGAAATTACCTAGTTTTTATAAAGTTAAGGACTACAAATGGCACAAGAGGTTAAACGACGCATGCGCTAGTAAATTAATTTCTGTCGCAAAAAGGACAAGCAGGTCGGTGTCATCCATGGGGTCTGTCTCAGGGCGAGCGTGGAACACGTTGCGGAGATAATTTGTGGAAATGCACGGCTGTGATTGGACAGGACAGGATAAGCAAGCTGTGGACGATGCGATCCAATCGAGATATGCCGTCAGGCCAATAATTCTGGCAACATCCGTACGATGCAAATCACTGCACAACTTTTCTTCACAGTGTTGCCATTCATTCATGGTTTTTTCCCTGTGTCAATATATGGACAGAAAGTAGTGGAGAGATTGCCCTGTCTGCATACATTTCAAAACAGATTTGAATGAATTGGACGATATTCATGCAAACCTAAGCTTGTAAGAATTGCGATTTTGACTCGGATCGGAGCTTCGATGGCAGGATCGCAAATGATAGAATCTTAACTACCAGGATCATAAAAACGTAGATTTTACGAAATAAAATCGTAGAATCAGCGGGGTTAGTTTGGATTGTGAAGTCGTAGAATTGTACAACAAAATTGTGATTCTGACAACCTTGTGCAAACCGGGCGATTTTTTATTTAAACTGAACCAAATTTATTACATCATGGACACATTTCAACTAAATAAAAGCGTCCGGAGGTTAACCTAGTGTAAATATTCGTTTGCAGCCGTGAGGCCCAGAAAGAGTCCCACCTCCAAGTCCTTGTTATTCCCTGCCGGGTCCATGTACGGCGTCCGTGAGCCCCAAAAAGTGAAGGTGTGGTTATCGACGAGGTAGAGTAGGACATGGGATACATACCGGCCCACATTAGATATGAGGCACTGCCATCTCCCATGCCCTACTCTTCCTCGTCAGCTCCACGCCCTGCCCGTCACCAGTGGAGGTGAAGTTGATGATGGACGTGGACTGGCGTCATCGTTGAAGTGGTGCCAATGGTGCACAACTGACACCATTGCGTTAGCGTCCTCCTGCGTTGTGACGCCCCCGATTTAATCGTACACTAATCATGCACGCAAATGTGTACGATCAAGATCAGGGACTCACGGGAAGATATCACAACACAACTCTACAAATAAAATAAGTCATACAAGCATCATAATACAAGCCAGGGGCCTCGAGGGCTCGAATACAAGTGCTCGATCATAGACGAGTCAGCGGAAGCAACAATATCTGAGTACAGACATAAGTTAAACAAGTTTGCCTTAAGAAGGCCAGCACAAACTGGGATACAGATCGAAAGAGGCGCAGGCCTCCTGCCTGGGATCCTCCTAAACTACTCCAGGTCGTCATCAGCGGGCAGCACGTAGTAGTAGGCACCTCCGGGATAGTAGTCGTCGTCGACGGTGGCGTCTGGCTCCAGGGCTCCAGCATCTGGTTGCGACAACCAGAAAGAAAGGAAAGGGGGAAAAAGGGGGGAGAAAGCAACCGTGAGTACTCATCCAAAGTACTCGCAAGCAAGGAACTACACTACATATGCATGGGTATATGTGTAAGGAGGCCATATCAGTGGACTGAACTGCAGAAGGCCAGAATAAGAGGGGGATAGCTAATCCTGTCGAAGACTACGCTTCTGGCAGCCTCCGTCTTGCAGCATGTAGAAGAGAGTAGATTGAAGTCCTCCAAGTAGCATCTCCAAATAGCATCTCCAAGTAGCATCTCCAGTAGCATCTCCAGTAGCATCTCATAGCATAATCCTACCCGGCGATCCTCTCCTCGTCGCCCTGCGGAAAAGCGATCACCGGGTTGTCTGTGGAACTTGGAAGGGTGTGTTTTATTAAGTATCCGGTTCTAGTTGTCATAAGGTCAAGGTACAACTCCAAGTCGTCCTGTTACCGAAGATCACGGCTATTCGAATAGATTAAACTTCCCTGCAGGGGTGCACCACATAGCCCAACACGCTCGATCCCATTTGGCCGGACACACTTTCCTGGGTCATGCCCGGCCTCGGAAGATCAACACGTCGCAGCCCCACCTAGGCTCAACAGAGAGGCCAGCACGCCGGTCTAAACCTAAGCGCGCAGGGGTCTGGGCCCATCGCCCTGAGCACACCTGCACGTTGCGTACGCGGCCGGTGAGCAGACCTAGCAACCTCCATTACAAAGGAAGTTGCGTTAACGCAGTCCAACCCGGCGCGCGCCGCTCCGTCGCTGACGTCTGAAGTGCTTCGGCTGATACCACGACGTCGGGATACCCATAACTACTCCCACGTAGATGGTTAGTGCGTATAGGCTCGTAGCCAGACTCAGATCAAATACCAAGATCTCGTTAAGCGTGTTAAGTATCCGCGAATGCCGAACAGGGCCAGGCCCACCTGTCTCCTAGGTGGTCTCAACCTGCCCTGTCGCTCCGCCACAAAGTAACAGTCGAGGGCCGTCGGGAACCCAGGCCCACCTCTACCGGGATGGAGCCACCTGTCCTTTCAGCCCCCTCGTCAGAATCACTTGCGGGTACTCAATGAGCTGACCCGACTTTAGTCACCATCTGTATAGTATGTATGTATGTATGTATAGTATATACCCGTGATCACCTCCCAAGTGATCACGGCCCGATAGTATAGCAAGGCAGACTGACAAGAATGTAGGGCCAATGATGATAAACTAGCATCCTATACTAAGCATATAGGATTGCAGGTAAGGTATCAACAGATGTAGCGACAATGTCAGGCTATGCATCAGAATAGGATTAACGAAAGCAGTAACATGCTACACTACTCTAATGCAAGCAGTATAGAGGAGAATAGGCGATATCTGGTGATCAAGGGGGGGGCTTGCCTGGTTGCTCTGGCAAGAGAGAGGGGTCGTCAACTCCGTAGTCGAACTGGTCAGCAGCAGCGTCGGTCTCGTAGTCTACCGGAGAGAAGAGGGGGAAGAAATAATGAATACAGAGCAAACAAAGCATCACAAAATATAACAAGGCAATACGCGGTGTTCGGTGTGCCCTAACGCGGTAGTAGATGATACCGGTGAAGGGGGGGAAAACATCCGGGAAGTATTCCCGGTGTTTCGTGTTTTCGGGCAGAGGAGCCGGAGGGGGAAAGTTGCGGGTTCGATAGGTTAGGGGGGTGTGGTGGACGAACGGATTGCGTATCCGGAATCGTCTCGTCGTTCTGAGCAACTTTCATGTTGAAAATATTTTAATCCGAGTTACGGATTAAAAGATATGATTTTTAAAAGATTTTAATAATTTTGGAATTTAATTATATATTTAATTAATTCGAAAAAATGTATTTATGACGTCAGCATGATGTCATGCTGACGTCAGCAGTCAACAGGGGTTGACTGAGTCAACCCTGACATGTGGGTCCAGTGGGACCCACCTGTCATTCTCTATTTAGGTTAATTAGGGTTTAGGTTAATCTAATTACAGTTTAATTAAACTTAACTAGTTAATTAATTTAATTAAACCAGATTAATTAACTTAATTAATTAATTAATTAATTAATTAATAATTTTATTAAATCATTTTAATTTAATTATTTATATTTATTATTTTATTTATTTTATTATTTATTCATTTATTTATTTTTCTTCTTTTTTTTTAAACGTTTCTGGGGCTGGGGCCCGCTAGTCAGTGGCCCAGAGGGCATCGGACCCCACCCGGCAGTGGCCCAGGAGGCCGACCGGGCGCGGGTGCGGGCGCTCGCCCGAACGGGCGTGGGCGCACGGGTGCAAGGGGCTACGGGGCGCCCGTTAGCGGACGAGCCCCTGACCCAGCGCAGCAGGGTGCCGGCCAGGGAAGACGCCGGCCGCAGCAGCCGGAGCCGGGGCATCGACGGAG